TATTATAACAATTACAATAGAAATTACATTGATTATATTTAGCTGCCAATCTAGTGCAAGACCAAAATTTAAGAAATCAAGTTATCAAAGATAAAAACTTATAAGAATAATCGCCATCAAAATATTTATAGAAAAGTGTTGAAACTTGACTAATGCATGGAATAATAATGCAACACAAAATGTACTTAGAAAAAAATGTATTGTAACAAGAAATATTTACATATAGTCTTTTGTATATTCCTGGTAAGACCGTTCCTGGAGAATGTGTTGACTGAGTCGCAGTCGGGCAGAGTCTCTGGTTGAATCCCTTGATTCCTCCCTCTCTTCCCGGTACCAACCATATTTATATGGTCGGTACTTCACTATGCAATTTAGGTGGATCCTACCACAACAAAAAGGCACAGTGAAGCAACGTTACAGAGGCGAAAAAACCAGATAACATCGCAGGTCCTTTGGCTTGTTTTCGTCCTATAATCGCAAAGTCGTGCCTCCTCACTATCAAGATGAGTAATGGCTTGAGAATAGCAAGTGCTGTAAGCCTGGATGTGGGGCGATGCTATGCATAACGGCTCTGGGGGGTGAAATAGGTACAGCAGAGTTCTAATTCCAGTCGAGTTCGTTACACTCCTTTAGGTGCAAATAATCTTGGCAAATGTATAAATTCATGTCTTATCGCCCAGCTGTGGGAAGATAGCAGAACAGTCTGGACACTATAGACTTGGTTGGCAACCAATCTAGGAGAACGAAAACTCAAACTAACCTGGAGAAGGTTAGTGTTGTGGATTCCGAGATGAAATTCGGTCTCCAATGAATGACAAACGCAAGAATTAAATATAAGAAATTAAATGTATTTACACAATATATATATATAGTCTCGAAGTAGGGCTTCCTTAGAGTCTACGTGCTTGTAACTGACTTCTACAAGCGGTTACCTCACACTATTACTCTACCTCCAACTCAATCACAATCTCTGCTCACTCTCCCAATCTCTCTATCAATCTCCATCTCCGTATATTCTGACTGACTGTTGCTATTGAACGGCAGCAGTCCAAGTAACACTTTGGTCGAGTCCACTTGTATCAAAAAGGGGAGGACCCCATGACAGTGAGCAAAGAACAGACGGACTTCAAATAGAAGGTAATGGCCAACATACAACTGGGAGATGGAGAACTTCTATTAAAAAAAAGCCTGCGATATGTGGCACACAGAGTATCAGTATAGGTTTCATTTGGTTTGGTTTGTTTTACGACATGTCAACCTCAAGTGGTTATTTAATTCCGACAAGATTTTTTTTATTGCTGGTCATATTTTTTCCAAAAATGTATTGTCGCTAATATATATATATATTTTAATCTATTGTTGGTAATAATTTTTTTCTTCAAAAATCTCTTGCTGGTAATAATCTTTTACCAATATGTATTGCTAGTATTAAAACCTATTTTACACTTTCACAGCGTTTCGACCCCAGCTCGGAGGTCAACCACTTGCCTTAAGCCGGCACCTCAACAGGTGATACCTCTCCGGGTGAGGATGAACCTGGAAACACCAGCAATTAAGAGATGGCTTCACGCTCCCCACAACCTCTTGATCAGAGGCGTTGCTGTTGAATATAGTTTATCGTCTTACCCAGGACGCGGATGTATTTTATCGTCATATCCAGGGCGGCCACTAGGACAATGGTACTTTGTGGGAGAGAGTGTGTATTGCAGCGCGCAGGCAGTTGATCACTTTAAACAATTGTCCAGTAAAACTTAGAATTTACTAAACCATCATCTGTCCATATTTATATACACATATATATTCAATAGATCAATAAAAGTTCCATTGACATATCTGATTGGACAAATCAAATCTAAACGCTCAGCCCGGCCAGATGTTTGATATATCTACCCATACATACACAGGAATATACAGGGTGTATCAAAAATACTTTACAAAATTTAGGGGCGGTTTCCTCATATCAGAACAAGTACAAATAACTATATATCCGAAAATCATTCGTTTTTGATTTATTAAGTTAAAAAGAAAGTTAAAGATACATTGTGATGTGTTGACATGTAGACTAGTTTACATTTGTCATTCGTGTACATTTGTGGTTATTCTGTTCTCAACGATTAACGTGTGTAGTAGTGGGTTAAATGAAAAGTACTCCGTTTCACAATGTTCATATTGTGAGCATATATTTTTTTTACATACGGTCGCGTGAATGGTAATGGACGCGCGGGTGCACGGCTGTATTGCGTTTTTAGACCGAAGGCCGCCGATTTATCCAACCTTTGCTGCTGTTTATCGTCTCGTTGCTGAGACAGAATCCGTGGCATCACTAATTATGAACCGAGAAAGACCGAGAACCGCTTGCGCTTGTAACGCCTGACCACGAAGAACCATGTAGCAGAACACGTCAAACGGTCCTATCATGTCGTGCATCTGATAGTACCCCATGGAGTTTACTTCAAGAGCAGGTCCTGTATCCGTACCAGTTGTAACATGTGCAGAGTCTTTCGCTCTCTGATCATTCTTCTTAGGAGAACTTTTGCCGCTGGTTTTATTGCACAAACTGCCGATCCGATGTTTGTTTTTTCAGTCATGTTTACGGATGAGGCAACATTTGGAATAGATGGAATAACACATTTACGCAACCAGCATTTGTGGGCGGATCGGAATCCCCATTATACAATACCGGCTAGAGACCAGCATCAATTTACATTTAATGTGTGGGCTGGAATTGTAGATAGGTCTATATGTCCTCCCAGCATGTCATACAGGAGCTGCCTACAGGGACTTTATTCGGACCATATTTTCAGACCTGCTAGAGGAAGTACACCTGCTAAAACGAAGATGTATATTTAGGCTTCAGCACATTTTGGTCACATTGTTAGCGATGCATTGGCTGATATCTATCATGAAAGATGGATACTTAGTGAAAGACCGATTCCATGGCCTGCACTTTCCTCCAACCTCAGTTCTTTAGATCTGTAGAACCACCTAAAACAATTGGTTTATGAAGCAGGCATTAATAATGCAGAGACACTTCATCAACGTGTCATGAGGGCATGCGCAACCATTCGACACCGCGTGGGAGTATTTGAAAGGGCCCGCCAGTCAATGATCCGACAGGTGCAAGCGTGTGTAGCACCAAGCGAAGGACATTTTTTGGTGTGTTCAGATACAACGATGGATTTTGGACATTTTATATGGACATTTTTACCTTATTTTTCGTGTCATGAACCCGCCCCAAAGTATTTTTGATATACCATATATATATATATATATATATATATATATATATATATATATATATATATATATATATATAATTAAGTTATGAAGAATTTGGTAAACCGAATTGGTAATTCCAAGGAGGATGAAATACTGAGAGTTCAATGTGAATAACGAGCTAATATTTAATGAAAAACAGACCACTTTAAGGTACCATTACAATAATTTATTTCACCAAAATCCTTTGTAAAGGATTTCGGATCATCAGGTAACACTTTAACCGCCACCTTCACCCTCCATGTTTAATTACAAAAATTACACTACCCATCAATTTCCATCAAGTGTTACCTGATGATCCGAAATCCTTTAAAAAAAGTATTATGGTGAAATGAAATATTGTAATGGTACCTTAAAGTGTCTGTTTTTCATATATATATATATATATATATATATATATATATATATATATATATATATATATATATACATAATCTTGAGTATGAAGATAAAATACATTCAGGAGCAAGGTCTCTGATAGGGAGATTGGTGGATTTGAGGAGTGTGGAACCACCTCTTATTTTCTGCTGTTCCCAGGTCCACCCTGACCCAGGGTAGTAGCATATGTTAGGACCCTAACTATAGGTAAATAGTAAAACTTCAAACAAAAAAAATCAACACATAAGAAAAACATTAAAAATACATTTTGGGGGGAAATAAAGAGTACTACATTTTTATAAATAAATTATTAACAATAATAAATTTGATAGTAAGATTACCAGCAAGACAAAAATAACCTACAATATAATTTACAGTAGATTAGCCGACAATACATTTTATAATAATGTGACCAACAATATACTTTATTAGTAAAATGTGGAACAATACATTTTATAGCAAAATGACCAACAATACAACAGATTATTTATCTTTCAAAAAAGTGTAATAATATTTAAATAGACGTTACATCGGATTTTCTCCACCTTCAAAATGTGGGAGATATTTCTGCTGAACTCTACTATAAGAAGGCCTACTATATGTGCGACATATATATATATATATATATATATATATATATATATATATATATAACACATATAAATATATATATATATATAAAACACACATATACACACACACATATATATATATATATATATATACAAACACATACACACATACATATATACACACACACACACAGATATATATATGAGTGTAATAATATTTAAATAGAAGTCACATTGGACTTTTCTCCACCTTCAAAATGTAGGAGGCATTTCTGCTGAACCCTACTATAAGAAGTCCTACTATATGTGCGACATATATATATATATATATATATATATATATATATATATATATATATATATATATATATATATAAACATACACACATATATATATATACACACATTATACACACATATACATATATACACACAGATATATATACACGCATGCACATACATACACACACATATATATATATAAATGTATATGTGTACTTAGTAAATATCTAAGCAGTACAAAATAAACACGGTTTGATTTCATTACATAATATGTAATATTTTTAAAAGTACATGTAAGTTAGCTGTGTATTTGTGTAAACACATGTTTACTTCCACATGGAAAATTTTCTATTTCGTTTGACGCAAGGCAAATAATGTGGCCCCTATTTGATGTTTGAACTCACTACTGCGGAGGGGTTCCATATTTACAGATATAAATGCAAATACCTGCTATACCTTTCTGATTCTCTTCATATATATCTATCTAACTAGCTAGCTATGTCTACTCTTTCAAATACTTCTCTGTATCTACACTTTCATATATCTCTATCTCTTCCGTTTCATATCTATCTCATTCTTTTCCTTCCTTCCTATCTCTCTCTCTCTCTCTCTCTCTCTCTCTATCTATCTATCTATCTATCTAAAACTTTTCATATCTCAATCTCATCCATGCCATATCTATCTCGACCATATCATACATATGTCTCATCTATCTTAGCTTTTGAAATCTATCTATCTATCTATCTATCTATCTATCTATCTATCTATCTCTCTCTCTCTCTCTCTCTATATATATATATATATATATATATATATATATATATACCTTTTCATACCTCACTCTCATTCATGCTATATCTATCTAAACTTTCTCATATCTATCTATCTATCTATCTATCTATCTATCTATCTATCTATCTAAACCTTTTCATACCTCACTCTCATTCATGCTATATCTATCTAAACTTTCTCATATCTATCTATCTATCTATCTATCTATCTATCTATCTATCTATCTATCTATCTATCTATCATATATATATATATATATATATATATATATATATAACTTTTCATACCTCACTCTCATCTATGCTATATCTATCTAAACTTTCTCATACATATCTATCTATCTCTCTCTCTCTCTCTCTATATATATATATATATATATATATATATACCTTTTCATACCTCACTCTCATCCATGCTATATCTATCTAAACTTTCTCATACATATCTATCTATCTCTCTCTCTCTCTCTCTCTCTCTCTCTATATATATATATATATATATATATATATATATATACCTTTTCATACCTCACTCTCATCCATGCTATATCTATCTAAACTTTCTCATACATATCTATCTATGTATCTCTTTTTTCTATCTGTCTATCTATCTTGCACGTTTTTATTTATCTATCGAACAGTTAAATCTCTTTAGGTTTCGTTTCCATCCTAATTACTTTTAAGTACATCATTTGCTTCGTATTAGATTTCCAAAACTTAGGCCCTGACAAATATTTCAAAAATTTCATACCTTCCCACTCGCAATACTGCCACTTCTCACGATTCACTCATATTAATACTACTACTACTATTTTTTTTAGCCACAGCACATTCATCTCCCTTTAATAATAATAATTACCTAAAAGGAAAACATAAGTAAAAAGAAATGGAATTAATAATAATAATAATAATAATAATAATGATAATAATAATGAGAATGCTGGTCTACGTACCAGTCATATCCGGTCAGCAAAGGAGTGGTAAAGGTCATAGGCCGTAGACCTCGGTTCTGGGAACAAGTCTTGGAGTGTCTGAATGTAACGTTATCAACGCGATCCATTACCAGCGAGAGCTGACGCTCTCCCGAACAACCGAATATTTCGTCATCGACAGCAGACACATCAGCAAATAAAATATGCTTGATTAAGCCACAGAAGTTTCTTATATATATATATATATATATATATATATATATATATATATATATATATATATATGGAAATAAGTGATTAGTCGATATAATCGTAAGTCCGATAGAAGATAGTTGAAACTGCAATTCCTGGCTTTGGAATAAATTCCTTCAGGTAATTTTGAGTTAGGTTTTCAGTGGTGGTGATTTGTCAAAATATCAACACAAACACATTCACACGAACTTAAAATTTATATCTATATGATGGTTGTATTATATACATGTATTTTTTTTTCTTTTAGGTCTGGTATGAAGTGTAGAAAGGCAGAAAAATTGACGGAAGAGAAGTACGGAGAATTGTGGGGGAAAGGAAGCTATGTATCTATTAGATTTGACTGGAAACTTTAAAACAGTGAGATAGATAGAGAGAGAGAGAGAGAGCTGGCTAAAGTCTAACATACTTATGTCAGATTATATATATATATATATATATATATATATATATATATTCGAACATTCAGCAAATCTGAACAGCTTAATTAACCTGTCATCTCTTTCCTGTTAGCCATTGTAACTTTGTTTTTTTACTGAACATTTCTAGCATCTACTGATATGACTTCAATTAAGAATTACATTTTCTTTGACTTTTCTTTCATTGATGAAGGCACTGGGTTTCCAGAGCTTTTGGATAGTATCACACACACACGCGGATATATAAAAGCTGATCATAATTTCGATTTTAATTCTGTGAAGATTTTAAAATATTTTCATAATAAAAATCTTAGGCGGATTTATGAAGCAGGCATAATATCTATCTCACGCACGGTGAACACTAGACCTGGCTTCTTTAATATTTCCCCTTTTTTCTAGCAAGATTAATGCTCGACAAACGTACATATAAGTTTCAGATCAAAATAAAATTATTTTCGTTTTTCATTCAAAATACTCAAATTTTAGGAATACGTTTTCACAACGTCGCCCACGTGACGACGACGTGATCATATTTAAACGGAACGCTGATCTTATAAAAGATTTCAGTTATCTGTTTGGATTGGTATTGCTTTTATGTCCATCGTCTTTTTCATGTTGAATTGTATACGGTCTATGTTAATTATGTTTTATGAATATGTCCTGAAGATGGTCTATTAGACCGAAACGTCCGACGTTGACATTAAACATTAAAACAGCATAATCGCATATTAGGATTTTTGTTTGTTTTTTCAGTATATTTTTCTTCATATATATATATATATATATATATATATATGCAGAGAGACAGAGAGAGAGAGAGAGAGAGAGAGAGAGAGAGAGAGAGACGAGGCACGGAGGAGTAATGGATATTGCCGAGTTCGAATCCAGTCGAATCCATTACATTACGTGTTTATAGCATTGGGAAAGATATAAATCTTCTTCTTCCTCCAGTTATAGGAAAATAGCAGGACAGACTGGGTTCTATAGCCTTGGATGGCAACTGGCCTAGGAAGACGGAAGAAAGACAGGTCTGAATTCAAAACCTGCGGAGGGTCGGGGGTGGGCTTGTGGCGCGTAGTGCACCAGGGTCTCTGTATCCGGCCCTTACAAAAGGGTGGTTGATTCTGCACAGAGCCTTCAGCACTATAAACAAATCATATGTGCATATAATACTCTCTCTCTATATATCTCTCTCTCACACACACACACACACACACACACTCATATACACACACACGGATATATATATATATATATATATATATATATATATGATGCAGTCTACAGGTGCTGAGTATGAACTCACCGTTACACAATTTGAATTATAATATAATTGGTTATCAAATTGTTGTCGCAGTTCTATATTGTGCAGGGATACAGATTGTGAATTTTAAAATTACAAAATAATGTTTGGTAAGTAAAAAAGTGGCATTTATATACGTATGTAAAAAAAGAAAATTGAAAAAAAATTATACTTGACTGTTGAATATTCACATTTAATTTTTTAAAAACTTATATAATTAAAGGGAGATTACTTGTTCTTATTTAAACAAAAAGTCATGAATATATATTAAAAATTTAAATAAAATTTAAAATTAAAAAATTAAAACTTAATAAATTAAGATTAAAATAGAAAAACATTAAAAGGTGAGACAAAAATTAAAAAAAAACATAAATTAAAAATAAAAATAAAAATTATAAATTATAAGACTAAAAAATATAAAAATTAATCTGAATCAACGTATTTAAGCAGATATTTATTTTTATGCCTACATACGATCATCAATTCATTTCTCTTGTTTAATGAGCATGGGTTATTTAAATGTTCTAAGATAACCAGCTTTTCAACAAGGCATAAATTGCATTTATTTCCTTTACGTTTTAAGTCTTATCTCTAGAAATAATTTCTCAGTTGTTTGATGGTTACATGACATAACGCTTTAATTGGCAGAAATATTTGGGGAAAGCAGTGCTGTTTTTGGTATTTTCAATTAATTCATTCACTGATGGTAAAAACAAAATTTCCAAGGATTTGCATTAGAATCAATATAAAATTTAACATTTTTCGGGAATGTAAGTTCGCTCGGTGTACAATATTATCGATCATACATTGACCATTTAAGGGACAGATCGTATTTTTATGCATTTATATTTATTTTTAGAAGAATTTACGTTGCCTTTGTTGAAAATATATTTGTTTAATATAATGTTGTTATGATGGGAGATGAATGTGTCAGCTATAGTTGATTTTAACATTGTTTTTATTAAAAATAATTTTTTTTGTGTTGGCGAATGCTTAAAGTGTTCATGGATTAAATTTTTTTGATATTACAATTAAACGGTCGATAAAACCATATAATGATGCGTTTACTATATTTCTGCTTATATTTCTGCTTATATTTCTAGCATATACTGATATGACTTCAATTAAGAATTACATTTTATTTGATTTTTTTTCTTTCATCGATGAAGACACGGGGTTTCCAAAAGCTTTTCGATAGTATCACACATACACACACGGATATATATATATATATATATATATATATATATATATATATATATATATATATATATATATATATATATATCTGATGAAGTCTACAGGTGCTGAGTATGAACTCACCGTTACACAATTTGAATTATAATATAACTGGTTACCAAATTGTTGTCTTAGTTCTATATTATGCAGGGATTACAGATTATATATGAAAGCATTGTAAATATATATATATATATATATATATATATATATATATATATATATATATATATATATATATATATATATATGAGGCTTTGTAACTATATATATATATGTTGAAACTTGACTAATGCATGGAATAATAATGCAACACAAAATGTACTTAGAACAAAATGTATTGAAACAAGAAAGTGTACACAATATTTACATATAGTCTTTTGTATATTCCTGGTAAGACCGTTCCTGGAGAATGTGTTGACTGAATCACAGTCGGGCAGAGTCTCTGGTTGAATCTCTTGATTCCTCCCTCTCTTCCCGGTACCAACCATATTTATATGGTCGGTACTCCCACTATGCAAATTAGGTGGATCCTACCACAACAATATATATATATATATATATATATATATATATATATATATATATATATAGATAGATAGATAGATAGATAGATAGATAATATTAGTGGTAAATATACACATACATATGCAAAATATATAAATATATATACATACATGCATACACATAAATATATATTTTGTATAAAAATATTTCCAAGAGGATAGAATCCAGGTAGAACTCATCCAAGGCTATAGAACCCAGTCTGTCCTACAGAGTAAGGATATAATAAAAAGGCTTAAACACTAATATTCCATGGTCATAATTTATTCCATTGGAATCGTAAATACGATCCAATTCATCAGACCTACAAATTCAAAAGGAAAACAGAAAAAACAACTCCGGAAATAAAAAATAAAATTTAGAGAGAGTGTAAGTATGAGAGTGTGGGACAAATGTTAGAGTAAATGAAAGCTATAGAGAGGGGTAACAGACGAGAGAAGGTGGGGGATTAAAATTTAACAGAGTGAAGTTTTAGTGAGGGGAGTCAAAGACGGTTTAAGTGAGAGAAATATGAATGTTGTCGGATGTCTAATACATTGAAGATGTAACCGGAAAGAATACATTTTGTGGTGACATACACACACAATAGACGATCTAATCTTAAAGATCAGAAGAAGAATATTTGAAATAATCATAATTACGTAATTCATCGAGTCGAGAAGAAACCTCAACAGAATGTAGAAAGCACTGGACGGCCTTTTCGTCCTATATTTGGGACTCATTAGCAGTGCGCATCCACTACCGAGAATTGAAACCCGAACAGTTACGATCGTTTTGTGTCAGCTCCAAATGAACAATGGCGAAAAGAAAAGATCATTCAAGCCTTCAGTAATGGTACCAACTTACATACTCATCCTTCCCTCTTTAAAGTACATTCAAGAACCATCAAGAGAACGGTGAATAAGCTTAAAAAGGGGAATACCATAGAGGAAAACTGGATCAGAAGGTCACAAGAGGGAGAGTGATCATCACATCAACTTACAGCTAAAGAGATCAATGAGAAAAGATACAACTCAATCCATTAGACGTTTGGCACATGAAAAAGGAGTTTCAGCTATGGCAGTCCAAAGAGCAGTGAAAAATGTCTTGAAAATGTAATCGGACGTAAAATATTTGAGGTACTTTATTACACCAAGATGGAATGTTAGAACTTTAGTGAGGGCGTAGGTCATCTTGAATAAGTTGGAAAATGATGCTGGAATGATATATATATATATATATATATATATATATATATATATATATATATATATGTCTCTCTCTCTCTCTCTCTATATATATATATATATATATATATATAGAGAGAGAGATAGATATCATTCCATTATACAAAATATATATTTATGTGCATGCATGTATGTATATTTATATTTATATATTTTGCATATGTATATGTATATTTACCACTAAATATCTATCTATCTATCTATCTATCTATCTCTCTCTCTCTATATATATATATATATATATATATATATATATATATATATATATATATATATATATATATATATATATAGAGACAGAGAGAGAGACAGATAGATAGATATATATATCATTCCAGCATGATTTTCCAACTTATTCAAGATGACCTTCGCCCTCTCTAAAGTTCTAAAGTAATAAAGTACCTCAAATGTTTTACATCCGATTACATTTTCAAGACATTTATATATATATATATATATATATATATATATTTGATCTTAATTTCAATCGTTCGTGAGCTTCCGATCGTTAGCTATAATTAATTAGTAACGAACATGTCATTTTCTTTTATGGTCGATTTCATCACGATTCTTCTGTTAAGGTTGGAGAGTAATTATACATTCTCCTTGCAAAGGTAGAGTCTAATAGTGTTATAAAAACCTCGGAGAATTCCAGTAAGATATCTTTAATCATTTCTAAGATACGACAGTTCAAAGCTTAATCAAATAAATGGACAATTTGTTTTTTAGACGACTTGGAGAATTTTGCTGTGATAGCCGGTATATATATATATATATATATATGGGAAATAGATGTATGTTTTTTTTAAATTTTATTTTATAAGAAGTATTTTAAGAAAACAAAAACTATCAAAAAACAGAAAATGTTTTCGTTTTACGGGTTTTGTACATTATATCTAGAAAGGATACGCTGAGAACTTTAGATTTAAATTTAATTTTTTTCACTTTAATCTCACTTCACCTTTATTAGGATATTTTGTTATAATAATATTTACCTGTACAAGGCCAAAGAGCCACTCGAGGCAAATGGTTACGGCGTAAATTGCCCCACTCCAAAGAAGTTGATAATTACACCAAAAAGCAAACGGTCATCGGAATAAAATAAAATAAAAAAATGTTTTGGAAGGAACCGGAAACACGACCCTAAACAGGAAACAAGAGATAGACCTCTACTTCTTTTCAAAAACCGGGGAAGGAGTATGAACCGGACCATCGGCCAAACTGTTTACTCTCAATTATTTTTTTTTATTATCACTAAGTGATAAATTTAATACCATATGTATTGGAAACATGTTCAAAAAGAAAAAGAAACAGCATAAAGTCGTTTAGACTAGATACCCAGAATTTAGAAAAAAAAAAAAATTAAATATGAATTTAAAATTCTTAGGTTTCGCTTTCCTTCGTGCGCATGCGTAGTAGTATCATAAATACCATTTTAATCCAATGAAATCAAATATGACGAAACGCATCAGTCGAAACCATTTTGTCATAGTTATCTCCCCTGAAATACATACATATATATTTATTTATTACCGCCACACAATGACAAAAAACTTTTTCTTTCAATATTATCAGACATGATGGAAAACCGAAAGAAAAAAAAACCCCTGAAAAACAGGCCAGCTAAGCGGTTTCGAACCTCGCGCAACAGAGCTAAATCGAGGTTAATATATAGGAAGGAATTATCAATAACATGAAATGGGAAATGTGACGATTACTTCAATTACTAGATACTCGTTTTTGAAATAAACACCTCATTTTTATTTTAAATTTAGACAGGGGTATACAGTCTATCGGCTTGGTTTACATTCTATGCTTTGCTTTCATTCCGCCATTTGTAAAAATAGTTTCTTTTGTCACTGTGTTGCAACAATTTTTATTCAAGTTTACTATATATATATATATATATATATATATATATATATATATATATATATATATATATATATATATATATATATATATATATATAGTCGACTCTCCCATCGAGTTCGACGTATGAGGGTCAAGCAGATCATTTCTCAGGAAACCGACAGCCCGATAACAGCACATGAGATTTGATTACAGTGGTAAAAGTTTCGTGCAGGACCATCCACAGTTTGAAGGTCCGAATACAACGACCTGGTGCACAAAGGTATATATATATATATATATATATATATATATATATATATATATATATATGAGAAAGTTTTTTTTTTCGCTAACCTCTTGGCAGTGTTTGTATCGTGCTTACGTCGAAGTTTTGTGGTCATATAGATGTGACTACTCGTCAGAGCAGGAGTTGGACTCTCTCCGAGGATGAACGCTCTACCACAAAACCTGCTTGCTTTAAATGGCTTCCTATCAGCAAATCACTGAAAAACCAACAATTTTGGTTCTCAAATTATCTCTTTCTTCTTTCTTTCTTTCTTTCTCTCTCATATATATATATATATATATATATATATATATATATATATATATATATATATATATTTATTTATATATATATTATTGTTATACGTTGTTTATATAGACACAAATATTTCAGTAAATGCTCTTTTTACAATAAGCAGTATTAACAATATTTATCGGCCTTTAATAAAATATTTTTGACTATATGAATAACGAATAACAATAAATATATTAAAATAATTGTCGCATCTTCGGAAAATAACTTTTTGGTCCATTTCATAATATTATATATATATATATATATATATATATATATATATATATATATATATATATATTGGACTCTCCCGTCGTATTCGATGTATGAGGGTCAGCAACTCTGTTCCTTGGAACCGACAGAAGACATCAGCATATATGATTTGATTATAATGGTGAAGTTTTTCTGCAGAACAAACCACATCTTTTGGAGTGCCGAATACAGAGACCTGGTGCACTATGTGCCATAAGGTCCCCAAAGAACCTTCCGCAGGTTTTTGATTTCAGAGTTTTCCTTCTTCTAGACCAGTTGCCATTCAAGGCTATAGAACTCAGTTTGTCTTGCTAATTACCCATAGATGGAAGCAGAAGACAATTCATACCTTTCCCAAGGATATTAGCACGTAAGTGAATGGATTCGACTAGAATTCGAACTCGGTTCTTGAAGCCCTCAGTCCGAACCACTACTCACTACTCCACCGTTCATCCTAGTAGAGAGCGAGCGAGAGAGAAAGAGAGAGAGAGAGAGAGAGAGAGAGAGACAGAGACAGACAGACAGAGACAGAGAGAAAGAGAGGGTGTAAGGTGATATACAAATTTATAAAAGGTAGATCAGTGCTGTCCTGCACATGGTAGATTTCGTGCAGCCTGCTACCTAGGCCGACTCGGTGACATCATCCACTTCCGCCGGAAGGTCTAAAACGTTATCATTGATTAAAATTAATTGGCTTGCGTTCCTAGCGTGTCTGAGTTACCGGCTGCTCTGTACTTTACATCGATCTCTTGCAGGCCGAATGCCATATAATTTTTCAGCTTATTTCTTTCACTTTTTCATTTTTTTTTTTTGCTTCTGTTTTTAGCTTTCGTGTGGGGTCCCCCTTTTTAGTGTGCTAATTTTTTTTCCGTTCGTTTTGAACACATTTCCTCTCGCCCCCAGAAATATAAAGATGTTTTTTTTTCTTAGATTGTGCTCTTCTAAAACGTAACTTGAGAGATTTGGGGGAGTTAAACACATATCTGACCTCAAGTTGAATACGAACCATCGCTAAAGATGCAGCTAAAAATGGTCAGCTCCTAAAACTCCGTAGCTTGAGAGATTTGGGGGAGTCAAACACATATCTGACCTCAAGTTGAATACGAACCATCGCTAAAGATGCAGCTAAAATGGTCAGCTCCCTAAAACTCCGTAGCTTGAGAGATTTGGGGGCGTTAAACACATATCTGACCTCAAGTTGAATACGAACCATCGCTAAAGATGCAGCTAAAATGGTCAGCTCCCTAAAACTCCGTAGCTTGAGAGATTTGGGGGAGTTAAACACATATCTGACCTCAAGTTGAATACGAACCATCGCTAAAGATGCAGCTAAAATGGTCAGCTCCCTAAAACTCCGTAGCTTGAGAGATTTGGGGACTTTAAACACATATCTGACCTCAAGTTGAATACGAACCATCGCTAAAGATGCAGCTAAAATGGTCAGCCCTAAAAACTCCGTAGCTTGAGAGATTTGGGGACTTTAAACACATATCTGACCTCAAGTTGAATACGAACCATCGCTAAAGATGCTGCTAAAATGGTCAGCTCCCTAAAACTCCGTAACTTGAGAGATTTGAGGGCATTAAACACATATCTGACCTCAAGTTGAATACGAACCATCGCTAAAGAAGATGCAGCTAAAATGGTCAGGTCCTAAAACTCCGTAACTTGAGAGATTTGGGGGCATTAAAACATATCTGACCTCAAGTTGAATACGAACCATCGCTAAAGATGCAGCTAAAATGGTCAGCTCCTAAAACTCCGTAACTTGAGAGATTTGGTGGCATTAAACACATATCTGACCTCAAGTTGAATACGAACCATCGCTAAAAAGATGCAGCTAAAATGGTCAGCTCCCTAAAACTCCGTAACTTGAGAGATTTGGGGGCATTAAACACATATCTGACCTCAAGTTGAATACGAACCATCGCTAAAGATGCAGCTAAAATGGTCAGCTCCTAAAACTCCGTAACGATTTGGGGAGATTTGGGGCATTAAACACATATCTGACCTCAAGTTGAATACGTTGAATACGAACCATCGCTAAAGATGCAGCTAAAATGGTCAGCTCCCTAAAACTCCGTAACGTGAGAGATTTGGGGGCATTAAACACATATCTGACCTCGTTGAATACGAACCATCGCTAAAGATGCAGCTAAAATGGTCAGCTCCCTAAACTCCGTAACGTGAGAGATTTGGGGGCATTAAACACATATCTGACCTCAAGTTGAATACGAACCATCGCTAAAAGATGCAGCTAAAATGGTCAGCTCCCTAAAACTCCGTAACGTGAGAGATTTGGGGCATTAAACACATATCTGACCTCAAGTTGAATACGAACCATCGCTAAAGATGCAGCTAAAATGGTCAGCTCCCTAAAACTCCGTAACTTGAGAGATTTGGGGCATTAAACACATATCTGACCTCAAGTTGAATACGAACCATCGCTAAAGATGCAGCTAAAATGGTCAGCTCCTAAAACTCCGTAACGTGAGAGATTTGGGGCATTAAACACATATCTGACCTCAAGTTGAATACGAACCATCGCTAAAGATGCAGCTAAAATGGTCAGCTCCCTAAAACTCCGTAACTTGAGAGATTTGGGGGCATTAAACACATATCTGACCTCAAGTTGAATACGAACCATCGCTAAAGATGCAGCTAAAATGGTCAGCTCCCTAAAAACTCCGTAACGTGAGAGATTTGGGGGCATTAAACACATATCTGACCTCAAAGTTGAATACGAACCATCGCTAAAGATGCAGCTAAAATGGTCAGCTCCCTAAAAACTCCGTAACGTGAGAGATTTGGGGGCATTAAACACATATCTGACCTCAAGTTGAATACGAACCATCGCTAAAGATGCAGCTAAAATGGTCAGCTCCCCTAAAACTCCGTAACGTGAGAGATTTGGGGGCATTAAACACATATCTGACCTCAAGTTGAATACGAACCATCGCTAAAGATGCAGCTAAAATGGTCAGCTCCCTAAAACTCCGTAGCTTGAGAGATTTGGGGGGCATTAAACACATATCTGACCTCAAGTTGAATACGAACCATCGCTAAAGATGCAGCTAAAATGGTCAGCTCCCTAAAACTCCGTAACGTGAGAGATTTGGGGCATTAAACACATATCTGACCTCAAGTTGAATACGAACCATCGCTAAAGATGCAGCTAAAATGGTCAGCTCCCAAAACTCCGTAACTTGAGAGATTTGGGGCATTAAACACATATCTGACCTCAAGTTGAATACGAACCATCGCTAAAGATGCAGCTAAAATGGTCAACCCCTAAAACTCCGTAACGTGAGAGATTTGGGGGCATTAAACACACATATCTGACCTCAAGTTGAATACGAACCATCGCTAAAGATGCAGCTAAAATGGTCAGCTCCCTAAAACTCCGTAACGGAGAGATTTGGGGCATTAAACACATATCTGACCTCAAGTTGAATACGAACCATCGCTAAAAGATGCAGCTAAAATGGTCAGCTCCCTAAAACTCCGTAACGTGAGAGATTTGGGGCATTAAACACATATCTGACCTCAAGTTGAATACGAACCATCGCTAAAGATGCAGCTAAAATGGTCAGCTCCTAAAACTCCGTAACTTGAGAGATTTGGGGGCATTAAACACATATCTGACCTCAAGTTGAATACGAACCATCGCTAAAGATGCAGCTAAAATGGTCAGCTCCCTAAAACTCCGTAACGTGAGAGATTTGGGGGCATTAAACACATATCTGACCTCAAGTTGAATACGAACCATCGCTAAAGATGCAGCTAAAATGGTCAGCTCCCTAAAACTCCGTAACGTGAGAGATTTGGGGGCATTAAACACATATCTGACCTCAAGTTGAATACGAACCATCGCTAAAAGATGCAGCTAAAATGGCCAGCTCCCTAAAACTCCGTAACGTGAGAGATTTGGGGCATTAAACACATATCTGACCTCAAGTTGAATACGAACCATCGCTAAAGATGCAGCTAAAATGGTCAGCTCCCTAAAACTCCGTAACGTGAGAGATTTGGGGGCATTAAACACATATATCTGACCTCAAGTTGAATACGAACCATCGCTAAAGATGCAGCTAAAATGGTCAGCTCCCTAAAACTCCGTAGCTTGAGAGATTTGGGGGAGTTAAACACATATCTGACCTCAAGTTGAATACGAACCATCGCTAAAGATGCAGCTAAAATGGTCAGCTCCCTGTACCTCTCCGGTATTTCATAGAAAATATGCATCCTCCGACAGGAATCGAACCGTCATAGAGCCTGATGTGATTTTATTGATTTCGCCACAGAAGAGCGTTCCGGTAGGAAGGCATTTACTTAAATATTTGTATCTATAAAAAAGAATGTATAAACATAAAAATCTCTCTCTCTCTCTCTCTCTCTCTCTCTCTCTCTCTCTCTCTCTCTCTCTCTCTCTCTCTCTCTATATATATATATATATATATATATATATATATAAATATATAACCATTTTGGCCGAAACTAGTCGAGGAATCTAAATGAAAAATAATAAAAAAAACGAAAGAATATTAATCTACAACCCAGTGTGTCTGAAGATTTTAATTTTTAATATTCTTTTATTATTTTATATATATATATATATATATATATATATATATATATATATATATATATATATATATATATATATATATGACCATTTTGGCCGAAACTAGTCGAGGAATCTAAATGAAATAATAATAAAAAAAACGAAAGAATATTAATCTACAACCCAGTGTGTTTGAAGATTTTAATTTTTTTAAATTTTTATTTTTATATATATATATATATATATATATATATATATATATATATATATATATATATATATATATATATATATATATATATATAGTAGACTTACCCGTCGTATTCAACCAGCTCAGTTCCAAAGAACCGACAGCCTAGATATCAGCACATATGGTTTGATTTTAGTGGTGAAAGTTTTGTGCACAATCAACCACACTTTTTGAAGGGCAGATTACAGAGACCTGGGCACTACGTGCACCAAGGTCCCCAACCAAACCTCCGCAGCTTGTGTATTCAGAGTTGTCATTCTCCTAGACCAGCGGCTCTCCAAGGATATAGAACTCAGTCTGTCCTGCTATTTACCTTTAGAAGCGGATTAATATTAAGTTAATGTAATGGATTCGACTGGATTTCTACTCCTCCACCGTGTTTGCGCGTGCGTGCGCGCGCACACACAAACACACACACACATATAAAATATGATAATTTATTATTATAATATAAATGAGAATGAATGGAACCCAATTTCGACGTTCGTAACATTCAATATAAAAGAAGGTTCAAAACAAAACTAGAGCAATGTTCTTTATTTTAGGATATTACATCAGAAGCATGCAAAAACGTTACACAAATGCAATCTTCTTTCGATATGAATTTCTTACTCTTTTTCTTTTTCTCCTCTTCTCGTGAAAAGCGGGTGTTTATTGTTTTTAAATCTCAATAAATTCTCTACTCACCAGTTGTTTAACTAAGCCTGATGAGATGTGTTGATACGCATCGAAACCTGATTGCATTTGTAAAGCTTTTTACATATTTTCGATGTAAAATAAAGTATATATATATATATGTATATATATATATATCTGTGTGTGTGTGTGTGTGTGTGTGTATGTGTGTGTGTGTGTGTGTGTGTGTGTGTGAAAATAGGAAAGAACTCGTTAGGTAAATAAATCAAAAGTTCTTTTGTATTTTTGATATTATATTTAAAAAATAGTGCTCGACTCCTTGGTACTTTAATTCAATTTAGTTCAAATTATTATATTGAAGTTTTAGGCCCTTCTTTTGAAACGTGAGAACTCTTATGTAGCGAAGGAATCATATTTGTAAATAAATAAAATATATATATATATATATATATATATATATGTATGTATGTATATATAATATGAAATGAAAAGTCCGACAATAATTTAAGACATTTTTTATAAAAAGAACGTATAAACATAAAATTGTCTTAAGTATATATATATATATATATATATATATATATATATATATATATATATATATATATATATATATATATATATATATATATA